ATCCAAGTTTTAATAACAGTCCTTAAATGTAAAAGTTTGCCTCTGCCTTTGTCTCTAACTCCTAAACTGTAAATGCAAAACCGTAGTTAATCCTTCGAATTAAAGTCAGCACTTCAACCACATCTTAATTGTTCAAGTTAAAATCCATTGTGGATTGGTTCTGCTGGCAGCTGGGGAAAATTACAACAAAAACACAACAGAAATGTTATTACAAAGCGGGCATAACTGTAGGGAAGTGACTTGAAAACTAGAGAAATAAAAGAAGGTCTTCATTTTGTGCAGTTTAGCAGCTGCTTCACTGCAGGCCTGACAGCTTGTATTATTGATTCTGTGTTGTTTTAATAGGAGAGAGATGGTTGGGGTGATGGAGCCAGTGCCAAGAGATGAGACTTACTGTGACCCACCCGCTCTGTTCCATGTGTCTGGAGACTATTCATTCATCAGGTAACAATCCCAATCTAAAGCTGCATTTTGTGTCAATAACACTGCAGATTGTGGATTGACTTAATTCTTAAATTATAGCAGTTATGACCATTTGGTGCAGTTCCCAGTTCACTTTAAACTGAACCTGTGTGTGTGTGTGTGTGTGTGTGTGTGTGTGTGTGTGTGTGTGTGTGTGTGTGTGTGTGTGTGTGTGTGTGTGTGTCCATTTGTTACTGCTTTCGATCCAGGTACTTCACACGAACCATCTACCAGTTTCAGTTCCAAAAAGCGCTCTGCGATGCGGCCGGTCACACGGGCGACCTGTCTGCATGTGACATCACTAATTCTATCGAAGCAGGAACCAAGCTAAGGTGCATACAACTTCCCTTTCTTCATTTTTAACCTCGCTCGCTTGATTTTCTTATCACAACAGTCTGTTTATGTTTTCTAGGAAGTCCATGTAGCTATTTGAAATTACAGCATAAATGGTGCAGGATTTTGCTCTAGCACATTGTATTACTTTTTTGTTCTTCACGTCTAAAAGTGGTGGAATAATTTATCATCATCATCATCCTCATTGTTTTCTTCTAGGAATATGTTAGAACTTGGAAGGTCTAAGTCTTGGACCAGGGCTTTGCAAGCAATATCTGGTGACACAAAGATGGATGCCCAACCTCTGCTGGACTATTTCCATAAACTTTATGAGTGGTTGCAGGCAGATAACAAGAAACGCAACAGGGTGGTAGGCTGGAGTGAAGATCAATGTAAGTACAAAAGATACCCAAAATGAAAATTATTAGCACTAAAATCATCTATCTGGAGTAATAGTATTTAGTGTTTTTTGAGATTGATACCGCTCTTCCTGATGCCACTACTTGATAAAAGACTGAACGTGGGAAGGAAACTCTCTGTAGTCTGTACTTGCACGTGTAAAGTGCATTGAATTATTTGTACACAAACTTTAGAACTGACAGTAATTTACTTGAATCTAGTTGTCATCGTCCAGCATAATACAGCTTTCAAAATGCCGGGTTTTGTTTTTACAATTTGCTTTTTATACTCAAAGAAGACAACATTTTAATTAGTGTCACATTCTTCTGTTCCCAACCATATGTCCTTAATTTATCACCACTCTTCTCACACTTTTCCTGGTCCTGTTAGCCTCTAAGCTTTCATCGATTCTTAAAATCTTAAAATCAAAAGTCAGCTTTTGGGTCCTCACCCCTACAGCTAGCTGTTCTTCCTTATTTCTAGACTTTATGCTAGTTAACGTAATATGCTGGAGCACATTTATCATACAGGTATACATCTTTAAAATGTCTTTAACTGATTGTTGTTCCCATTACAGATCCAGAATATTCAATTAAAGTGAGACTAAGTTTAAATTCTGCAATGGGCGATGATGCTGTGAGTAATAAAAATCGTCATTGCACCAGAAATTTTGCAGGAATTCTGCACTTATGAAGTTAAATACTGTCTGTTTAACGTCATGCCCATTGTTTTGCTTTTTTTATGTGTTTCAGTACCCCTGGAATGACAATGAGCTTTACCTGTTCCGGGCCAACATTGCTTATGCCTTGAGGCAGTACTACAGCCAGAAGAACAAGACTCTTCCTTTCACGTCAGTATGAGGTCGATATTTTGTGCTTTAAGCAAAACAAAAAAATTGTTTGGTTTGAGTTTTCTCTGTTTGCACATGCAGAACAACTAATGTCATCACCTATAAGGAGACTCCCAGAATCTCTTTCTACGTTGTCGCCAAAAACCCAAATACACCCACTGAATTCATCCCAAAGAATGAGCTGAAGGAAGCCATCAGGTGAGGATCAAGTGCGTGAGTGGCTAAATACAGAATATCCCAAAGCACTGAGCTCAGCATCCTAAGGTAGCTGCAGTAGCCAAGCAAATTCATTTATTTAAAATCTTTTTAGTTGCAGTTTTTAGCTGGATGGAAATGTTGAACTTCAGTAACATGGCACAAATTGCCATCAAATTGCTGTTTTATTCACACATCCATGGTCTTTACAGGATTAGTCGCAGGTGTCTTTGGTGATCTATGGCTCAAACCTTTTTCTTATGAAATGAATTGTGAACTCTTTGAAATATTTTTAAAAATGTCTTGGCACAGCTATAACAACAGCATACATTTATAACATATTCTTTTTATTTTTTTTATTATAAGAGTTGTAATTTAACTCCCTCCTGCTACACCTGAAATAACCAACCTGGCAGTAATGTCGCCTGTGCCTGTTTATGAGTTGTAAAGCAATAATAAAGTCATTTAAAATCTATTCCAGGTTAGCTCGAGGCCGGATCAACGACGCCTTCAACTTAGGTGATAATACTCTGGAGTTTGCCGGTATCCTACCAACACTGGCCTCACCCACTGAGCAACCTGTGCAGGTGTGGCTGGTGGTATTTGGTGTGGTTATGGGCATTGTGGTGGTAGCCGGCGTCTACCTTGTCGTCTCTGGTGTCAAGGAGCGCAGGAAGTGAGTAGACCCAAATATACACTACCGGTTAAAAGTTTTAGAACTGCTCAATTTCTCCAGTTATTTACTGCAATTCAAGTCATTCAAGTCCAATGAATAGCTTGATAACTGAAAAAATAATGTACATTTCAGAATTATACAAAAAGGCCTTTTTCAGGGAACATAAAATGGGTTCAAATGTAAAGCTGTTCTGTGAGTCTCAGTTTCAACTGTGAAGAGAAGACTTCGAGCTGCAGGTTTAACAGGATGAGTTGTGTATGTGTGTTTTAATTATATGTAGATATTACAAGTCTGTCTGTGCAGTTGTATGTTTTTACCATCAGAGCTTTAGTCTGCCCCTTTTCACAAATGATATCTTGACTTCACATAGACTTGGTGACTAAATGAGTAAAATAAAAATATTCCAATTAAATTAATTATGTGCATAATGTTTCTGTGTTTATAGGAAAAAGCCTGGTGTGGAGAACCCCTATGAGTCATCCACTGATGGACAAAGCAACAAAGCCTATGATGACAGTGACAATGAGCAAACTGGATTCTGAGTCTACCGCTGTCGTAGTAGATCAGAGGGAAGATCAGTACTTGTGTCCAGTGATCTCATAGCCTTCCCAGAAATGGGAAAGTAAAGCTTTAAAAGTTCTCTTCTTCTTTCATCAGTGCTGCATGGCCTCCAATCAACAATAACAGAACATTAACAGTGCTAAATGTGAAGCATTATGCTGAAGGTTGTTAATTGGCAACAGTGAATAACCCTGTTAATGAACAGTATCCTTAATTACCATTTACATAGTATACTTCCATGTGAGTGTCATTAAAGTGTTATTATACAGTATTTTGTGATACAATAAGTAACAAGTTTAACACACTGCCTTACCTCCCTTTTTGAAACCCTTTTACTTACCTGTGCAATTATGTATATTTAACTGTTTTGGTAATAATAATAATAATAATAATAATAATAATAATAATAATAATAATAATAATAATAATAATAACCGGTTTAAAGTATCATTTTAAAAATAAAGTTCATAATTGCAAAAGTTAGGCAAATTCAAGTCACATTTATGATGATGCCACCTACGTGTCAAAATGCACACTTCAATCACAGCACACATTTCGTTTTAGTCTAGTTTACTGTGTTTTCATATCAAACCTGAGAGATTTCCTAAAGTATCAAATCTTGTCATTATACACCTAGATGCTAAAGAAAAATGATCAAATAAAAACATGAATGTTGCATTAAAAAAATTCTGCTACACAGTTTACCAATGGAACTTTTTTTTACTTGTCAGCTGCGCATGTGTACAAAAAAAGACATTTCTTTCGCAAGCAGTGAGTGACCATTAAGCGAAAAGGAGAGTAGTACATTTGCATGAGTTGATATTATACAATCAAAGCCTAAAGGTGTGATTTCCAGGACGTCTGAGATGTGTTATTAAAAAAGAATTCTAAATATGTTTGGTTGTGTTAATGCATTGGGCCATTATTTATCGTTCCTGTAATGTGTCATTTTTCCTTACAATGTCTTATAATATATTGGAAACAGTATTGTTGTATCAAACATATAGATTATACAATATGAGTTCAAAAAAGAAGTGTGGCTCTGAAGCAAAAACTTGAATGTGTTTGGTGACAGCATGCATTAAGACTTTCAGTCAGCCTCAAAGTGATTCTAGCAAATCTTCAGGCAACTCAGAAACTTGCGGTGTGTGGTACGGGTGCTGCCAGTTTCAACTGAGGATGTAAGTCAGATGGCAGAAGGAATACTTTGAGGATCTCCTCAATCCCACAGACTTACCTTCTGTAGAGGAAGCAGAGCCTGGGTACAAGAAGGATGACCCATTCATCACTTGGGGTAAGGTCACTGAGGCAAGTAAAAAACGAAAGCGTAACACTACAGTTGGTGTCTGAGATCATTTTCCACGTCATCTCTCAGGTAGGGACATGTGGAATGACAGCTGTGTAAAGGCATAGCCTTAAAGAGTTAGAGAACTATGGATTTCTGCAGCAGCAGAATTTGAAACATGGATGTTGGTTTGTGTTGTTGAACCAGGTCACACGAAATATTTACAAGAATTTTTTTTAAAAATGTAACTGACTTTTCTGAGTCCTGAAAATGCAGAGGAAAATGACTCTCCGTCACTTTTGAATGATGAAGAGGAAGGACTGATCCACTGTATGTCCATCCAGGGTTGCCACGCCCACTGTGTCTGTGTTGCAAACGTTGATGAACCAACCGCTATACAATGCTGACTCAAATCTCCGTCGTCTCGCTGAGTCACCCTTCATGTAAAACACAAAGGAGAGGGTACTCTCATCGCTCTTGGAGATCTGCTTCAGCCTCTGCTTCTCACATGTCTAAAGGGATGAAAGCGTGGATTAGTTTGCTTGAAAATGGCAATTTCCTTATAAACATCTTCAAATCACAATGAAATGAAGTACAACTGAGACAACAACGATTGTCGAACTGAGACAACGAACTGAGACAACAAGACGTTTCACCTCTCATCCGAGAAGCTTCTTCAGTTCTAACTAACTAGAACTGAAGAAGCTTCTTGGATGAGAGGTCTTCAAGTAACTTAAAGAAGTCCAGACGCTTTTCTTTGCAAGCTCCTTTGACTAATACTTAACTCAAACTCAATCTCCTAATTATTTCATTTTGCAAATGATTTCAACTCTGATGAAGATGATCTCTTCATTGTGGCACCTGTTAGTGGGTGGGATATATTCACCAGCAAGTGAACATTTTGTCCTCAAAGTTGTTGGGTTAAAAGCAGGAAAAACGGGAAACAGTAAGTATTTCAGTGAGTGTGACAAGGGCCAAATTGTGATGGCTAGATGAGTGGGTCAGCACAGCTCCAAAACTGCAGCTCTTGTGTTCCTGGGCTGCAGTGGTCAGTATCAAACATGGTCTAAAGAAGGAACACCGGTGACCCAGCGACAGGCTCATGGGCAGCCAAGGCTCACTGATGAACGTGGGGAGCGAAAGCTGACCCTACATGCATCAGACTGCTGAAAAAGTCGATGCTGGTCCTAAACAAAGTGAAAGAACTAGAAAGGCGTGAGAATGCAGAGTGCATCGCAGTTTGTTGTGTAAGGGACTGCATAGCCACAGCCCATCCAGGATGCCTATTCTGACTGCTGTTCACCACTGAAAACACCAGCAATGGGCATGTGAGCATCAGAATTAGACTGTGGAGCAGCTACAGATGATGGTCTGGTTTTGTTTTACATTCCGTACTTGGAAACACCTGGCACCAGGATGTTCTATGGGAAGAAGGCACGCCAGTGAGGCAGTGTGATGCTTTTATATATATTCTTCTGGGAAACATTGGGTCCTGCCATTCATGTGGATGTAATTTTTGACAAGTACCACATACCTAAGTGTTGTTGCAGACCATGTACACCCTTTAATAGAAATGGTACTTTCTGAAGACTGTGGCCTCTTTCAACAGGATAAAATGCTCTGCCACAAAGCAAAAATGTATCAGGAATGGTTTGAGGAGCATATCTTCAGTTTGAGGTATTGACTTGGTCTCCAAATTGCCCCAGATCTAAATCCAATTGAGCATCTCTAGGATGTGCTGGACAAAAAGTCTGACCCATGAAGGTCTCACCTCATAACTAACGGGATCTGTTGCTAACATCTTGGTGCCTGATACCACAGTCCATGCCTCAGTGGGGAAGGCTAATTTTGGGACCAACACAATATTAGGCAGGTGGTCATAATGTTATGCCTAAGCTGTGTATATTTAAACAATTTTGATATCACTACTAATTTGAGATGCTAATTATTCTGCCATTATGTATTTTTTGTAACATAACTCTGTCTAAGCAAATCTTTTAAAGTGAGAAGTGTATCTACATAGAACAAGGGACAGAAACGGGCATGCAATGCTTTCATCCCCTGAACAATGATGGCTGAGTCCAGAGAAACAAATGTTTATCAAGCCTTTTTTTTCACTGCCATGATTCAGTCAAAATCAATAGCGTACACTTATTACCTCCACTTTTAGGAGCACCCTGTCCGCTTGCTTGCAGCACATGAGGAAGCAGTTGGAATCGGTGAGGTTTAGCACCACTGGCATCCCACTGGAACCCCTTCTGAAACCGCTTGACTTGTAGTAGTAGATAGTAATTTTCTCTGAGCACAAAAGGAAACCAAAATAATGAGAGCAGTTTCTCTATCAGAACAGAGTATTTTCTTACTCTACCTAACACTGGAGTAAATGTGAATGATGACAGCTTCAGTAAAAACTCATCTGAAAACCACGAGTGCCACGTTGATGTGTCCTGCTCTGAAAGACAAACCTGGATTTGGAGAAGCATAGACGATCTTCTCAGAACAGATACCTCGGAGGTATTGGCGAGTGGCCAGATTTTCAACTAAAACATTCGACAACTTTTCCTGCCGGAAACTGCCGCCTCCTCTCGGAACTGAAAGTAAGAATGGGAACAAGGGCCCCTGTTTATAAGTCATATCCCTTTTTAAAAACAAAGGTGACTGCACTGACCGTTTTCAAACTGTGATTTCACAGCAGTGGTCTTGTGTTCTTTACATCGATCTCGACTTTCACAGGTTTCATTTTTCCTTTATGAGATTTAATTTTGCCAGTTGAAGGCAGTTGTACAACACATAAGTTATCTATAGGGGTCTGCAGAAAAACTGCCTAGTCAAGGTCATAACAGCTGCCAGGACACATTTTGGTTCATGGGTGTAAACATGCGACCATTCTCAGTAGCTTCCTCTTTAGATAACCACAAATATACAGAAGCAAAAGAAATACCCAGTTGCCTCACAACATTCAAACACTTTAATGCATTAAATACTGTAAATATTGCTGTTAGCAAAGTTAATTATGAGAAAAGGCAGGAGAGTAAAACTGCTTTTACTCACCGAGCGTCACCGTGCTGGATTCTGCCACCATGATGATGTCATTAAAGGTACATCCTGTCTTATCACAGCCCCTGCCTCTCACCAGAGAGATGCTAGTTTTTGTCATCTCAACAACAAACATCTCATTCTCCTCAGTTTTCGCTTGGCAAAGATCCTCTTCAATATTCCCCGTCTCCTTTTCTTCTTCCTGCTGTTCCACTACAGGTCCCTCTGGGTCATCCTCCCTTGTCATCTCCCAGCTAAAGCTGATGAGTGTGGGCTCTTTAGAGACTGGTTGTAAAGTGTCTTCAGTCAGGGATGTCTGCTCAGTGTGGTCCTCTTCCTTGGCTGGTTTGCACACTGTCTGAAGAGAACGAAGAGAAACAGGATAATATAAAATACCCCCCAAAACCAAAATAAACACAGAAAAAAGATGTTCGCAGGTAGCATTTACCAAGATTATGAAGAACATAAGCACAGAAATTTGAATCACATTACACAATTTCATAATGTTTACATATATAAAGTGAAACACAATGAATTGTTTATTTTATTTTTATTTTATTTTTAATCTTCTAAGACTGTATCTGAAATAATATCTCTAAACTAGAAGTCCTCAACTCACCAGCATTGGACTCCCCTCAGCTATCATGTTTGCCAGCTCCTCAGGTGTAAGATCATTCAGGTCCATGCCATTTATCTGCAGAAGCTTGTCTCCTTTTCTGATAAAAAATAAACAGTAAATAAATAAAATAAATGTACAATGTGCTTTACTGAGCCCTTTTGTGTTTGGCAGATGTAATAAAAGGAGTTAGAGTGTGTTCATAAATAATAATTTACTAGTTTTACTCTTTAAAGGGGTTATTTTTTCCACTACAGAAGGTCTCGTGAGTACACTGAGCTAGAGATGAACACAAAAAAAATCCACCCAAAATTGGAATAAAATTACAAAATAAGGCAACAGAATTATATAATACATCTTAGTTCATTTGCTCAATTCACCTATAATATTTCACAGTTTCAAACTTTTCTGGCATCATGTTGAAACGATTAAGTGGTAGAATTTGAAAACAGTGAAAATAAGAGAAAAAACAGGATTACATAATTAGGTATGCAACAAACCGATACTCGAAACTGAACTCATGCTCAAAGAAAGAAAGAAAAGAAAAAGAAATTCTGCACAAAATGCTGACTTTAAGTAATTTTATCACATTTAAATTTTGTAATTTTGTTACATTTTACGATGTAAAATGTTCCATTTAATGGGATCTGGTCGAATGTCAATGTACTTGACTGGTATATGTTCATTTTATACCAAGTTTATTTCAGTTTATTCCTTAAGAATTAATTATTGCAATAAATAAACATCTTTCATCACTGCTTCATGTTTAATGAGGGTGAAAAATAGAAGGCTCAACATGTAAGCTGGAGAGAAAACCTCAATGTAAATATAAATAAAAACTAAGAGAGTTATATGTTTTTACCAAAAACATGGTCTTGCTAAAAAAATTTTTTTAAAAAATCCATAACATGAAGTTGGATGTCTGTGCAACGTTATATGACTACAACTTTTGAGGCTCTACAGTAAAACTGTCTTAGCTTCTTTCATAGCAGTACCTGGAAAATAGTTGAAGAGAAAGAATCCGCTAAACAGAGAGCAAATTATACCTGACATAAAGTTTTCCTTCATTCTCCATTTTGTACTTCACCACATTCTCCACTACATATTGATGCTTTCCCTCATGGATCTTGTGTGCAATCAGCACACCGCCCTTAACCAGAGAATCCTAAAATGTACAAAAAGAACACAAACTTTAAGTTTTCTCAACAAAGACAATCATGTCAGGATTATCTTTTAAGTGTATCTCACTACATGTAATGCTTATTGTTAGGGGACAGTTAAGCGTTGTCACCTACCTTCATGTCCATGTTGGCACCAATGTCCGCTCTAGATAGCGTTATACCACTGACTGAAACAGACTCCGGTGAAAGTGGCAGTTTATAAGTCTTCCAGTGTGTCTGTGCTTCAACTTATTATAGAACAAAAAGGGGAACTGTGAGTGAGAAAACACTGACACTGTCGTGGATGGGGAACTGCTGTCAAAAAAGGAAGTAAGAGAAGATTAGAACATTTTTGATGAAAAGTGGACACAGTATATGGTTTGTTTGAAAGCAGAACTTGTGAAGCATGTGGAAGAAGAAGGTTATGATTTAACTGTAAAATATCTTTTCAATAGCAACAAATACAGTGCTTTGATAAGTCACACACTTCCCCTTTTCAAAACTGATAGAGACTAAAATATTATCACATAGTACTACTATATAATATTACTCATATAACATCCCTTTTTTTTCTTTCACTGCGTTTAAACTTCCTTAAAAACACCAATAATAAGGATTAAAAAATTAGCATGAAAACCTGAAAAGCTTCAAATATAAATCCCAACAGTCAGATTTACAGTGTATCACAGATCACATGTAAGCTGTTGGGAAAAAAAATCTCTTCCCCTGTGACAGTTATGATGGAAATATATAATGTAACTAAATATCAGTTCATTTTTACCCGTGTCTGCCGGTACATTAGAAAAAACACAGTACCAGATTGTGAACGTCTAATGCAAGTAAAATTCCTCCATTCAAAACCGTAAGTACAGCGTTCACTATTAATTTAACGCTTAAAAAGTAAAAAGATGCCACTTCTTAATTTGTACATTTCACTGCTTTAAACAGAGACGCTACCAACGGGGGGCCGGGGGGCCCTGGCCAACCCCCTGGCAAAACTCTCCTAATAATGTAAAAATGTTGCAGAAAAGCTGGTGCCAATCCCTGGACAGATCGCTGGTGCATCTCAGGGACAACACAGAGACAGGCAACATGATCGAATGCTTATTTTTCTTTCCTGAACAAGTTTGCTCTTAAAGTTAACTCCACTCTGAGAAAGTGAATCTTAAGCTGCTTCTGCTGACAATCATTAAAGTGATGGTTGGGACTTCCAGTCAATTAAAACAGATTAACATGGATTTCCAAATGTTTTTTGATTTTCATATGTACCTATTTTATGTCACATCAACTTTAATAGCGGGAAATTAACCAGGCATACAACTCCCAAAAAGTGGATTCTGTTCATCTGGACTTTTTTCAGTGGGAGAAACATTATGTCACTCATCCAAGTAACTTCTTCAGTCTCATATAGGGCATGTTTTTCAAGTAACCTATATTTGATGACAGCATATTAAAACTGGAAATTCAGTTTTTGGTGTGACCCCCCCATATTTTTAGTGGCCCCTATAAGGCCACCCCTATGAAAAAATTCTGGATGCACCCCTTGCTGTACAGTACATATTTCATATTCTTGCTCAAAAAAGGTCAACCTATCATGAGTTCAGAAAAACAATGTTTCTTAAGTTTATTTTAAGAAGGTAATTTTTGTGATGCCTCCATGCTACCAGCAGCCATGGCTACCCAACTGAGAGAGATGGATTTAAAGCAGGGTTGTCATTTTAATACACATTTAATTACTATCTTATTATACAAAAAAGGAAGTCAGCACAAATCTCTGAGCTTATAATGTATATACATATTTATAATTTGACCTCCACACAGTGTATTGCGTATCATTATTTGTGTTGAATTACAGTGTTTTAGCCCACTTTAATGACATGAAACGTGATATAGTGTCGCAACAAAAACGTTGGGATGTTCCGCCTCGGGAGTGAGAACAAGCTCAGTGTCCTCACAATTTTTGTCCTCAGCACCACCTAGTGGAGGACACCATGATTTATTAGAGAAGAGAAGAGAGGGTTTCTGGATATTTACTTTACAGCATTGAATGCTGAACTCCTATTTAAAGTAATTTTGAAATTTTCCACAAGAGCCTGTTTATGTGGATCATTGTTTGATTTATTATTTGAATAAATCATAAAGCTGTTTTTCATTCTTTTAACACTGCACATCATCACCAAATGGATGAAAGAAAGTATTAACAATTGATATGAACTCATTTTAAATGATGGTTTTAGAATATTTAATAGATTTTTTTTTATCCCTCTTTGGATCTTGATGTTATTGATAAATGGCAGTTTGCTTGTCTTTCCTTTTCCCTTCCCAATAACAAAACCAATGTTGTTTTTGAATCTAATTATCCAGTCACACATGTGTGATGTGTCTGTAAGAGTTAGTTTTCTTTTCTCTCTTTTTTTCTTTTTTTTTGGGAATTTCTTTTTTTTTCTTTTTTTTCTTTATTTGATTTGCCTGTCCCTTTTGGATCTTTAGCCATCAGAATTGTTGTCTGAAGGCCAAGAAAGATGCCAAGCGAATTTACTTTACCAATTGGATCATCATGGCCTTGCCATATTGGTCCATTTAATTATGTATTTAATTATAATTATGTATTTATTTGCTTTGATTTTCGGTTGTTACAGACGGGACAGACATGACTGGGGGATAGGACAGGGAGAAAGAATGAAAGAAAGAGAGGGAGAGAAAGAAAAATAGAGGGGAGAAGAGACGGTGAGAAAGGGGGGAAGAAAAAAAAGAAAAAACAAACACAACACCTGGATCACCTGTATAAGAAAAAACAGAAGAGAAAACAAACCAAAAAGAGCAACATAATAAATACAACACCATCACAATAAACTAGCTAACAGTAGATAACAGTAGATAGTAAATATTAAATGTTATTGTGCAGTACGCAAGATCGACAGCGCACAATGTGCTTTGAGTTAGCACCCAAGAAAGGTGTAGTTTGTGTCTGTGAACACCCGTGTGCACACCTGTGTGGATCAGCACGCTTCTATTCAAAAGGTTTCTCCATGTAACGATCTGCAAGGGAGTGTGGGGAGCCATAGCCCCGTGCCCCAGGGCATGAAGCAGGTATGGAGGAGATCCAGGCCCCAGACATCCAGAGGCCCCAGAGTACGAGGACCCAAGGAGGACCACCACAGGGGCAACTGTGCCACCCTCCTGGGAAGAGCTGAGGAGAGCCCCAAACGAGAGGTCACCCAGCAGCCACGGAGCAGAGGCCAGAGGGGGTTGCTGTAACGTGCCCACGGGCTCTTCCGGCAGCCAGCTGTGCCAGAGAGGACCAGGCCTCAGGCCCAGAGGCCAGAGGCTTGAGGGCACCCCACCCCCCGGAAGGGGCCCAGCCGGGCCACAGGCACCAGGTCCCGCCAATCGGCCACCAGGAGTGAGTTAGTATTTTCTAACTGGTTGATTTCATTGTGCTTTGGCGGATGGGAGTAAATATATATTACTGTCTGTAAGCGGCTGTGTGAACATTGCTTTATTGTAAAGATGAAGGTCACCTGGACCCAAACCTAGTAATTCAACAAAAATAATGGTCAGTGAGACAGTTTGTGACAAGAAGGTCATGGCGGCTCATTGTGCAGACTGTCCTGTAATTATGAAACAGAATGTTTTGTTAATTCACAGAAAATGTCCTTCTTTTTGTCTTCATTTATTGTTTTTCTCCAAAGAAAACAAAAAAAACCCCCCCACACAAACAAATTTCCTTAGGCAGTGAAAAAAGAATTTTTTTCTCATTTAGTTATTTATCTGTTACTTAATTACTTTAGTGCTGTATAAATAGCCTTGGGGGAGGTCTTCATCAATAAGACAGTCTGTAAAACTCATGAAAATGTATACCCTCCTTCACTTATTATTAGTCTTTGTTGGGACAATTCTGGCCCCTGGGCTTTATGTTTGACACACCTGTTTTAAAGCCTCCAGAGAATATCAGCGCTGTCCGCAGCTAGAAGCCTGTAAAAACTTTCTTTTTCACATAACTGTATGACTGCAAACATATCTGTTATGCAGGGACTTTGATGCTTTGCTGCTATGATGAGTTGTTACTAAATTTATACAAGCGCACACACACAAACAAGCAACCACACATTCTGCAGTTATTTCCAGCGTGCCCTGTGGAGCCACTGACATTCAGCTAAATCCGTAGATGTTCAGGTGGATTGAATTACATGAGAAGCCCACTCCACTGTCGCAACATTGGTAACAGCGGCACACGGTGGACCCTCAATCCAGTGTACTGGCCAGTTTTTCACCATCTCAGAAGCCAAAATAAGCTGATGAATAAATCCAAACAGGTACTGTGACATACTAAACATACAATGAGAAATTGTGCATGAAAGTGTGTGTCTGCCTCCTGAGAAGTTTTTTAAAACTCTACCTGGGAGAGTTTTAAAGACTCTTACAGTATTGATAAGTATGTAGCATTTTATCTGCTTAAATCTTGGCAAGAAAACAAGACAGCTTAAGTCTGTATTTGCATTTTCGAGTGAACTTTGACAAACTGTGTTGTTTGAAGTTTCCTAAATTGCTTTTCAGAAACCCATACCAACTTTCTCGGTGTTGTCTTTAATAAAATCAGCAATATAAGAGTTGTACTGTTTGACATCATTACTGTATGTGTGTTTCAGATGGTGATACACGATGTGTTAATAATAGGAAGTGGCCCTCATGCCCTAACCCTGGCTAGCTTGCTATGTAGCAATGACTGGGACCCAAAATCAGATGTTAGACATGACTCGCTGTTCTCCACCTCCACCACCAAGTCTCAGCCAAGCACAGAAACATCCAGCAACAAGCCCAATACTAGCAAGATGAAGAGGAAGAAGAGGGTAACAGATGGTATGGTGTGCTTATCTTTACTTTCTCAAAACTGGGAAGATGTTAGGATTGTTACTGAGAATCTGAGTGTTCACAGGGAAACATTTTCAGGCAATTAACCAAACCATCCAGGCAAAATGAACTGAAGACAGATTGTTTGAACCGTTTTAAGCAGAAATGCCAGACATAATGTAGATCTGTTTATAAAGGGTTTGCACTTTATTTTAAAAAGGCAGAGAATATTATTGGGCTGTTGGTCAGACAAAACAAGTAGATTGAAGAACATGAGTGATGAGAAACTGGGAGTTTTTCATGGTTTTGTAATATTTTGTTAACTAAACTACAAATGATAAAAATCTAAAGTATCTTATTACGAATAAATAAAATTCAAGTATCCACACAAACTGAACCAGATAATTTAGATTTTTTTTAGTCATTTAGACTTTTTCTGGATAGTTTTTAAATTGACTGTTTAAAAAAAAAAAAGCCGGCTTTTGTAATTCGCCAATTTTTCAGACATAACTGAGTGAACATGATAATGAGACTGAAGATGCACTTATTTTGATATCCACTGATGCTGTAAATAAGAATGAACAGTTCTCTCTGTTCTCTTTGTTGACAAATTAAATATTCTGCAGGCCAGGCGATGGAGGTGCAACATGCAAAGTTAACCACATCGGAGAGGACAGTTTGTTCCCCACTCAGTCTCAGAGTGGTGGACACCTATGGAGAGTGGACTGCTCTGTGGGAGAGCCAGTTCACAGCTCTGAACATCCCTCATCTGCGCTCACACTCGCTGGTGCACACAGACCCTCTTAATAAGGTAGAAGCACAATCGACTTCCCCTACTGTGGAAATGAGGTACGAATAAGAACGGTGTTAACGTGTGAATATTTGTCCTGACAGAAAGCGCTGCAGGAATTTGCTTTAAGGTGCGAGCGCTCGGCAGAGCTTCATAGCCTCCCAGAGCAGGTTTATATTCTGGATGAAAATGCGTTCTTTAACGACATGAGGCTCGGCAAGAAAGAGAGGAAACGTCTAAACATCAGCTCTGGGCTAAAGAAGAGTTTGTCCTTCAGTCTGCCAGGAGCAAAACTAAGTGTGGATTTCTTCAAGGAGCAGGTGAGAGCAGCTGTGCGTGTAAATAGCATGTGTGCTTGTCTTGTTTGAAGGTGCACTGCATTGATTGGTACACTTTGTAAGCTTTGATTGCTGCTCTTTTAACACCACATTTGTGTTACTGAATAAGAGAAGTTTGCATGCAAAACAGAATATAAACTTTGAAACTTTGAATCCTAAAATGAGACATTTCTTTTAGACAATGTGATTTCTTCTCTACCTGTTGCTGTTGGGGGAGCATCAAAGTTTGGAACAGAGCTGTGCTTTAGGATTTTATTTTGTTTTTAGATTCAGCTTGTTCAAACAGTGGGATTTCTTGTCAGCTTTTATTATTTTGAAGATGTCTAGTTTTAGTTTAGTTTTTATTAGCTTCATAGTTAAGTCTTTTTAATTTTTAATGTATGGAGGACATATGCCAGAGGCAACATTTAAGAATGTAAGAAAACCAGCAAGCTTTTTTTTTTTTGTTAATTTATGTTGGAATTTATGTTAGGTCAGTCTGTCTTGTCTCTGCTAGCCAGCTAACTAAGCCTCTTAGTTAGCTAGTTTAGTGTTTTCTGTTAATTTATGTTGTAAATTTATGTTACATGTAGCACCTTGGTTCCTGGAGGAACATTGTTTCGTCTCACTGTGTACTGTTAAACTGTATATGGTTGAAATGACAATAAAGCCAACTTGACTTGACTTGAAGCTAATACAATAAGAACATCAATATTTGAAAACAATTGACTCGTGGTCTTATAGACATCCATCAAAGACTCATCAAACCTTATTCTTATAATTTAAGAAATAATCCAACTAATTTTATATCCTCCATATTTTATTTTAGTTGGTTTTACAACTTCACAAAATTAGTTTAGTTAGTTTCAATGTTATATTTGTTTTTAACAGTTGTAGTTTTTATCTTTTATTTTGGTCAACTCAAATATTTTTTTCACACCTACTTTTAGGTTTGAGTTTAGTTCACTATTAAAAAAAACTTTGCAATAATGTAACTAATGTTGGATGACATCTTCTGCTGCTTCGAGAAACTCACCAAAACACCAACGGCAACAATAAATTGCTAATTGCTACCACTTATCCTACCAAATTTAAGCAGCATGAGCACCAAAATTTGAGAATTGCCGTTTCCTTAGCTATTTCAGTTAAAACACAGGTGGAGAGATACAAGTTGGAAAAAGTGCTGCTGAAGGGAACAGTGGAGCACATCACCCCTGTGAAGGAAGACGAGACAGAGATGAAAGACGAGAACTTGAAACAGGAGGAGGAAAATCAGAGTGACGTCTTCAAGGTGTCTGATGCAAAGAGAAATGGGGCGGGGAAGACAGCTAAATATTTTCAAGTCCAACTTGAAGATGGCACCATCCTAAGAGCCTACCAGGTCGTCATGGCAACAGGTCCGACCCGTGCCCAGATGGCAAACATCCCATCGTGGGTGAAAAGCATTGGTGAAAGCTACCCAGAGGAGCGTTTACTGCATACAGTTCATCTCATGCATCATCTGCCGAATTCTAAGCAAAAACCTCGAGAAACAAATTGTGTGAGAGACAAAGATACTTTTGCTCCTCAAGGTATGTGAGATTTCTTTTAGAAATAATTTGATTGCATAAACATTAAAGCTTTAGTGCCCCAGTACCTTAAAGTAAAACTCCGCTTTGTGAGTTGTTTGCACGTTTCCTAGAATGCTGTAACCTTTGCTTTCTGATAAATGTCTTTGCTTCTGCAGACTTCGTTGGCCATTTGGCACCTATCCTCACACCTGCTCCTCCCTGTGCAAATACTGTGTGCTTGTGTGTTTCTGTCATTGTATGTAGTCTGTGAGCCCGGCCAGAGAGTAATGGTCATTGGTGGAGGTCTGACCAGCGCTCACGTCATCTCAGTTGCACTGCAACAAGGTGCCAGCCATGTGACATGGGTTATGAGAAAACACCTCCAGGTTTAGAGACTGTAAAACGGCACATGAACCAAAAATTAATAATAATTCTGTCCAACTCGAGTACACATTTTAGCTCGTGTTGTTTTCTTCCACAGCTGAAACAGTTTGACGTGGGTGACGTTGAGAGTTTGGTGGGTCGTTACTCTCATGTGGAGCACGGCATCAAGATGGATGGCCAAGCCTACCTACGGCAGTTCTACAATGAGAGGAGTCTCCACAAACGCCTTGCAATGATTCATCAGGCAAGGAAGGGAGGGGCCGTCACCCCAGAGGCCTACATCCAGCTGCAGCCATTCATAGTGAACGGACAGGTGGATGTGAAGACGTACTGTCAGGTTTGTATTCAGTGTAGAAGGTCTCAAGAGTAAAATGAGATATGACCCACCAAGTAATGACAAACTTCTGAGTTCTACTACCTTTCCAGCATCCTAATGTGGACAAGTCACCCATGTTTGAGTTGCACAATGCAGTTACCTCACTGGCTTGACAGTGTGGTAACTGCATTGCCTGCATTGTATATCAAATAAGGCCTATAATGAACAGGGAGATAAAGAATCTCACACCGTCTAGGTGAGTGAAGCCAGCTGGTGCTACAGAAACCAGGTCTGGAGCCTTTCCCTCACCACCGGGGAGCACTGGACTGGAGATAAGATTTGGATTGCCACCGGCTGCAAACTTGATGTGAAACAGGACCCATTACTTTCTGAAGTGATGAAGGAATTCCCAATTCAGGTGTGTTATGTAGAGAAATGTGTAGTGTTTGTGCATGTACAGCACAGAAGTGTATTGTACATGCACAAAGGTTTTGGAAATTACTTGGATGATGAGGAATTTTTTTATGTTTTCATGTAGTTTTTTTCTGCAATCAGTCTCTGGATATAAAAATAAATTATTGATGACATGTGTTTTGTGTTCTTTAGGTGATAGACGGATGGCCGTGCATAACGGAAAGCTTACAGTGGACAGAAGAATGCCCACTCTACCTGATGGGGCAGTACGCAGCTCTTCAGGTAAGTTTTACAGATTGTATTTGTAGTGATGTTTTTTTTTTTTGTTATATTACAGGCTGTCCGTGCCTTTTCCCCCCAATTTCTCACATAGGTTGGACCTCATGCAGTAAACCTCGCTGGAGGACAGGCTGCCAGCATGAGGATTGCCAAGGACATTATAGGCCGCCATCAGCAGAAGGGTGGGCAGGCTGTTGAACTAAGTGGACAAAAACCAAAAACTGAAGAATACATTCAACAGATGCGAGGTCTGTTTTGGCTGTAAAATGACCACTTAGCCTGAGAAAGTCAAAAATAGCTGCTAGTCATTGCTCAAAAATAGAAGTCATCTCTTCCTGGTTATCCTGGTCAAGGTGTATTTGGAGAAAAATAAATGTGGATGACTGAATATATGATCAAGTTTGGGAACTTCAACAAATGTGGTTTTAATAAAACGTTGATTTTTATGGGTACTTTATTTATGGGCTGTCAGACATACAGTCCTGATGTTGAACTGCATAAACAGGGTCTCTCGCAGCACGCCATCACTACTGAGATGGGGCGCAGTAAGATAGTCATTTGGAATTTCTTAAAAGATCCTGAGGATCATGGAACAAAAACGTCAAGTGGAAGACCTAAAAAATTTCACCAGCACTGAGTGAAAAAAATTGATGTTTATTTGTTTAATAAATTTTGATCAACAAACTTTCCTTGTCTAATCATGCCCCATGGTGTGGTCTTTCTTTACTTGTGACTTCTTGATGTTGATAAATACAGTAAGTGAAAAAATATATATAATATACATAATAATGTTCAACACATTATGCTTCTGCTCTGAGGTCCTGCCTCCATGTACTTATGCAATTAATCACAGGACAGCTGGACAGGTGTGTTTATAAATAATATTAAATTAGGCCAATTTTCTTATCCATATTTTTGACCTGAGGGTAGAATTGATTGTGAACCGGAAAGGGAAAACGCTTATGAACTTGCAAATTAAAAACGTGATGCATTTAAGGTCATTCCGTTTGTTTTTTATTTAAGACGAGAATTTGTTCCACTGTGTGATGGCCGAATTTCTTTTCTTGGAGATAGTTTCTCCTGCCTCAGAGAAAATCCCCTCACATGGAACAGAAGACGCTGGAGTGCAGAAAGTGTAGATATACAGGTATACTGTCTTCCTGGGTCCCACAGACAGCTAAAACGATTTTTTTTTAAAAATTAAATTGTTGCGCATTTTGTAGAATAACATTTTAAGATTATTTTAAAAATGCATATTTTTTTAATATTAAATTTAAGTCAAATGGAAGTTATATAAGGATATTTATATTATGAAAAGCAGATTTCTGACATTTTAAGTTTTTCACATTTTAAGATAAAAAAATAAACACACAAAACAAAAACAAACAAGAACTGAAAGCTGGCAAACCCACCCAACTGACCAAAAATCAACTCAAAATGCTCCCTGGCTGTAGCCCAGGTGGCAGAGCCAACCCGTTCTCACTCCCAAAGCGTAACATTTTACGCTAGGTGACAAATCGTCACCTGCTACACGTCCGCCAACAGCTCCACGTTCTCCCTCTGTACTCGTGCCTGCCTGCAACAAAGCGAGCGCGAGCGATGTCTGTCTCGCGCTAGCAGCGCCTGTCCATCATAAATTTATCATCATATTCTGTATTATAATTTACTTTTTTGTGTTTGATAAGGTTTGTGGTGTTGCCG